AGACTTAAGTTTTTGCATTCCAAAAAATTAAAATTATACTGACTGTGGCATACATATTTAAGTAGTATTTATAAATGTAGAAAAAATCAATTTCAAAATATAATCTGCATTAAACAGACAGCGATATCAACAATTGTTTTAACAAACCATTGACCTTTGCTTTGCTAAAACCAGAAACAATTGCTTATCACACATACTTTAGGTCTTATCACCCACTATAAGAAAAATTTCTCTATTTTTTAATTGTCAAAAGAAGGAAAAAATTGTTATAACACTAAAAATATTTTCTACCCCTCAATAGTGCATTTAGTTATCACTTATTGAAACCCACAGAAAAATAATTGCTCACAACAAGAATGTATTTTTATGTATTAAAACATCTGTCACAACAGGGATGGAGTTTTTTTTATGTTGAATTCTTATGCAATAATCTAAATAGTAAGGCTTAGTGTAGCCAAAATTAAAATAACTCAATTTTACTAATCCACGAGATTTTTTCTTCATTTAACTTTAAATAGAAGGATAATTACAAAGTTTAAGTAATAAATCATTTTGTTCCCTAAATTATATTTTTTAATGTTGCACAAGATTTAGCAAATATCATGATTACATTTCTCTTTGTGTTCAGTAAGCAAAAGTTGAAAAGAATATATTTAGTTGGCTATGATTAAACAACATGAAGTAGCATGAAAATCGACCATCCATACTCTCCATCTCCCACAAATATTTCAGAGCTTTCACGCAGCTCAGCCTAATTCACTCTCATGATTAAAATCCTCTGCTTGTGGTCAAGTTAGGAAGGCTAAAATGACTATCAAGTAATGAAGTGACAGGAAATCACATAGCCTTTAATCCCTTTAAAATTAAACCAACATGTTTAATTCAGCGCAAATACAACTGTCTACTTTAAACCTCCAGAGCTAAAGATACATTTACCCCCAAAACAAGTGAAATTAGGCTACACAGAACATTGAACATCACCAGCAAAATAAGAATCAAGGTGGCTTTGTTGCTACATGTCTTCTCCTGCTAATAGGCAAGACAGATCCTGCTACTTAAACAGAGGAGACTAACCAGGATGTGTACCTTCACCCTAATTGCAAATATTTTTAAAGGTACCCCATTTCTGAAGTAAATGAATTCCTGACGTAAAGGAATGTCGTGTGAAACTGCTTACTTAAAAATAAATCTCATTTTTCTTTGCACATGTAATCATCTGCAATTATATTTCTTAAGAATTACAGCTGTCATTTAAATAGTTTTGAAAAGGAAATAAGAACAAACAAAACAGTGATTCACATCATATAACCCCCAAACCCCCATCCATTCAGATTTGCTCAGTGGATTTAAATCTAGTCTTAGTAAGGAACTCTTTCACATTATTTATTTAGTCTCTATATCTTCAGTTGGACTTTGATCATCTCCCTAGAAGTCTCTGAGCTTCAATGTCAGCAATAGGTAATAATAATGATGATGTTAATAAGCATCATCTCCAAAAGCTGAAGTTCAAATTAGATGAGGTTATGGAGGATAACAGCCACCCAGAGCACAGAGCCTACCATGCAGAAGGTACTTGCTAAATACAACTTCCCTTTCTCCTTCACCTGGAACAAAAGGGAAGGTCCTCATTTTCCACAAATGGAGCTTTACCAGAAAGAAGTGCCACCGGACACATTTTTTAAGAAAAGGAACAACACTTTTGGAGAAAACAAATCACTTAAAATTGTTTTTAACTGATCTCATTTTGAGTAAATCACCATTACTATCCCAAAGAAGTAGTCAGTATGGAAGGCTGGTAAGAGAGCCTGCAATCCTCCAACGACTCATCAAAGTGAAACCTGAGAACGCTGTGAAAAAAATAGAGCAATGCAAATATTCCTACAACCTAAGCATATTTGGAAAGTAAAAATTGTCTTTCTTTTTTCTGCTTAACTGGAAACTGTTTAAGTCCAAGTACAAAAATAAAATGATTTTTTGTTGTTGTCAACCAGCTTATTTTGAATTATTACTTAGATGAAGCAAACCAATGGGTGTTTTCTTCTCATAACTTACCTAAAAACACAATTAATAAGCATAAAAATTATTTGAAAGAGAGGCGGAATTTAAGCTCTCAAGAATGCTTAGAGGCAGTTTATTGCAAGAATTACATCAACTATTGTAACTGTCAAGGAGATTATAATAAATATGTTGCCCTCCAATGTGATTAATAAGAAAGTCTCTGCCTCAGGCAATGATGTTACTATAGATTTGCACATCTTCTGACCTAACTAATTTATCAGAATGTCCACTTCAATCACCTGCTTGTCCTTGGCTTCTCAGATGCAGTATTTATTACAAACACTGGTAATCTTTGAACCTTGTGAAATGGTCTTTCACAGTCTCCACACTGCAAAAAGCTCACACTGTCTGTCACAACCTTAGAAATAGAAGATGTCATTATTGGAAGGTACCTGGAAATCATCAGCTTAGCCAAACTCTTAATTTTTACATATTAGGAAACAGAGATTTCATTAACCAAAAGAGAGAGAGAGAGAGAGAGAGAGAGAGAGAGAGAGATTAAGAGATGTGCTTAAAGAAATAACATGGAAACTTGGTGAAGAAAAATGACTCTGCCTCGCTAAGTCCTGTTTCAAGCCCTAAACTTCAACTGTGTTGATAGCATTGAGGGAGACATTGACATGGAAAGCTCCAGAAGCATATAAGGAGAAGCAGACCTTGGGATGTGCTCATCTCCTCATATCCTCCACAGATCCTTCGTGTCTGGATGTAACTGGATGACCTGAGCACCTCAGCAACATAAATTAGCTGAAAGGGAACCAACTGCATAAACTGTAGATTTAAGCTAGAATGTTTCTCCTTGTTTCTTAGTTTCAGTTTCTTCTTAATTATTCAAACACACCCAGTTGGCAGTGCCAGATAAAAGCATCAGTCGGCTAAGCTAACCCAACTCACAGAGGCACATCTAATGCAAGACAAAGTTTGGAAGCGTTCCCAACCCAGCTCCTAATCCATTCTGGAATGCTTGCTTCTCTACATCTTAGATTTATCTACGAACACCAAACATTCTAAATTCTAACCTCTTGAAGATGCAGAAAATGACTGAGAAGGACTCATCATTTGTATGGTCATTAAAAGAGAAAAAAATGTTTTCATTAGATGGTCTGTTTAGGACAACCATTAGAAAGTGACATGAAAGTCAAACCATTTGGAAGTTATGCTTCCTTATTAAAGTGCGAGAAAGAAAACAGTCCTGAAGACTATAGTCCAGATATTTTCCAAGTAGAAAAATGTTGATTTCCATATAACGTTAACAAGTAAGAGAGACATATGAATTGTAACAGGTAACAACTCCCACACCTAACTCCAAAACACACACACACACACACACATACACACACACACCCCAAAAGTGATTATTTTATGTTAATATAAATACGAAGAAAATAATTTGGGGTTAAGTAAATGATATATATCCCAAGTAATTTAAAATACCCTATTTTACTTTAGACATAATAACACTTAGAAACCTATTCATTTTGGTTCCTGTGGGGCCTTAGAACACATATCTTTAAAAAAAAAAAAAAACAAAAAAAAAACCCACCAATAGAATATATATATAAAATCCTGGAAAAAATGTTTCCTCAAAATTCTTCTCCCAAATTAAACTCTAAAATGTATGACTTGAAATTTATGTTTATATTTCTAGTACCTGTATCTATAAAGTTGGAAATCAGTTTTTCAAATGACTCTGAATAAGCCCTCAGAAACTAAAGAGCATATTTAAAATTTCAGGTTTCTAAGTGTTATAACAAGTTAAGTCTGTTAATGATTTATAGTGAAAACAAATCAAACTTCTGGTTGGTCTAGTTTTAACTCCTCTTAATTTTACACATTGTTTTATGAGCCCCAACGGGTTAGGTAGGCATCTTATGGATCACTCCATTGCTAGCACTTCCCACAGCCTCTGTGGTTTGCGGCAGATGCAATCCGATCTGACTTACATGGAAAATTCAGCTGCGAAATATTTTTATGCAATAGCAAAAACAATCGGCCTTTTTTGTATCAAGGTGGGGATCGAGAAGCGAAATGAGAACATAGGGAGCATAAAATTAGTCTGCTTTAATTTCAATAACCAAATAGTGATTGAAAAAATACAAATTTTGTATTTGCAGGAGTGGGGGGCTGGGATGACTAGACCGAAAGCGTTTTTCTCTCCCACCCCGCGGCCATGAGCACACAGCAAAACTAATAAAATTATGACCCAGAATTAAAAGGTCGCATTCATTTTCAAAGCAGTCATTTAAAAATACAGAAGTGTTCTTTAAAAATGCCCACATTTTTAAACATAGCAAGAATGTGGCTACCAAATATTAATCCTGAGGAATATGAATACACATTTAACTTCATAATTAGACCCAGCAGGTCAAATGTTAGCAAGGCAAACTGACCTAAATCACAAAGACTGATTGAAAATGGCCAACAGAAAGTGTCTGTCCGGCTTGGAGGCCCCGCTTGTACCCAGCTCAACCAGTGGTCAAACATCTGCAGGCAAAGAAATCTACACGCGCCAGCCGGGTATGGCAGAACCCAAACTTTTCCAAATAAGTTAGTTCCGTCTTGCCAATCTACACCCAACAGGTGTTGATACAAGTCTCCAGACAAAATTCTTGCGAGCCAGGTCTAGAGAAGCAATGGACGGTTGGCAGAGAAGCTGAAACGACTCGACCTCTATCAGGGTCCTGAAAGCAAGTGGGGCCACTATTCTGACCGATCACTTGGCAGTGGGGTGGAGGGGTGTGGAGATGGGAGAATTCCTGGATGAAGATAGGGAGGCGCACGGAGATGTCCCGCCACTGGTGCCGCGGGAGGATTTCGCAGCACTGTCCCGGCACTTGTTCCCGACCCCCGACCCCCGACCCCCGACTCCCGACCCCAGGTTAGGACTGCAAGGGAGTGCGGCGGCCAAGGCTGGGACACCGCAGAGGGAGGGCACGCGGTACCTGCTTGTCCAGAGCGTCCCGGACGCCTCCCGGCCCGGCGCCGGCCCTGGGTGGCGCGGGCGTTCGTTCGCAGCTGCAGCCCTCCAGGAGGTACATGCCCGCCGGGCGGCAGCTCTGCTCGCCCTCGAAGTAGAAGAGCACATTCTGGTAGAGGGCGAACCACTTCTCGTGCCAGCGGCTCGCCTCGGCCGTCTTCTTACTCAGGAAGCCGCGCTTGGTGCCCTCCTTGCGCGCCAGGAAGGCCAGGTACAGGGCGTGCCCCTCGTTGTAGCGCACGCTCTTCTGCATGGTGCGGGCGCGCGGGGCGCGCGGGCGTCCGCCCGCCTCACCCCTGCCTCGCGGCCATGGCCCGGCCGGCTCCCTCGAGGGCGCGCCCGCTCAGGTCCCGGCCGGCGAAGGGCGCCCCCTTTCCCAACGCCGCGCTCAGGGCACCCCGGCCGCTTTCGGCAGGCGGCGGCGCGCGGTGCCAGGGGCGCGGGCTGGGGCCAGGGCACGCTCTCCGCCCTGACCGCCACCCTCGCGGCCGAGCCCCCGGAGCCCCCAGAGCCTCCGACGCCCGCGTGGAGCGCGGCCCCGCGAGGGCGCCCTAGCCGGCCGCCGCTTCGCCCAAAGTTGCGGGAGGCGAGCCCCCGCGGCGGGCTGGGGCGGCAGCCGGGAAAGGACTGTCCTCGGGCAACGCGCTCCGGGAGACAGAAGGTAAAACGTCACGTGGGAGCTCAGCTGTAATCGGCTTGGAGAGCGATTTAAAGGGCAAAGTCGGCGCGGCGCCGGCGGTGGCGCAGCCCGCTCGCCCCGGCGCGCGTCTCTCCCTCGCCCGCCCCGGCCCGGGCTACTGCCTCTGCTCAGGCGCCCGCCGGGATGGGGCGGATCGGGAAGGTGGAGGCCCCCGGACGCACCACACACCCGCTCACACGCGCGCTCGCACACTCGCGCACAACGCGCGCACACACACGCACACCCACACACACGCAGACCAGTACATTCACCCAGATCCACAACACACACACTCAGATGCACAAAAATATACACTCACAAATGCACACAAACACAATGCTCGCACATTTGCACAAAAACACGGGCACACTCATGACACACAAATACACATTCACACAATGCTCACAATACACAGTCACAACACACAAATACATAGAGAGAAATACACCCGCAATGTGCGTTCGTGCGCACAAAAATACAAACCCACATACAGATACACACTTAGGCAACGACACACATGCACGCACTGATGTGCTCACTCACATTCACACACAACCCACACATTCACTCAAACTCATATGCAAATATATACTCATACACACATTTACACTCACACATTCACACAAACAGCACACATATACTCACACGTTCACAATCATATAGACTCACAAGCAGATAGTCATACACAGACACACACAGATGAACACACATATGTGCATTCACATACAAATACATTCACCCAAAAATACAAACACACACACATACACAAGCACCCACATACGTATTCACACAAATCTACACACTTTCACAAACCCACTCACACATACACACACTCACATGCCACATCCATAAGCACGTTCCCATGGCAGTAGGTGGAGTCACAGAGTGACTTTCCATAGCCCATATCGATACTTGGCTTTTCTGCTTGTACCTGCATTGTAGTATTTAAAACTGCTGGTAAAGGTTAAGGAGAGTGTCCCAAGTGTTTTCGGAAAGGCATCAGATGCTGAGGGTTCTTTCAGAATGCCTGTTATTTCACAGTGGTAAGATGCTAAATTGTAAGTGCTGGAGTTCTCAACCTGGAAAAAAAATATTCAAATCAGGAACACTTTGCTGCCCAGGGCAGAATCCATCCCCAAAGGCCAGCTGTCACAGGCTCGTCGTTTGTAGGACTAGATTCATTTGATTAACAAATCTGACAGCCAGTAAACCAAGATCCCCCACCCCCATTCCCACCCCCACTCTGTGCTATAAAATGTAAGTGGAAAAGAAAGAATGTACCCAGCAGCTGTGAGAGAAAGCCAGTGAAATCCCTGGGGAGTGCCCGTGTTTGATTCTGCTATACACACATTTTATTCCCTCCAGTCATTTATCACTAAAACGGAGTGCCATCATAAAATGTTTATTGTTAAAAGTAAATAATAATGCTTTTCTGGGTGGTGAGTCTATGACAATACACCTGTCTTGTACTGCCAGTTGTGTGTTCATAAATTGGTAGCCCCGGGGGTTCTGCCTGTTTCATAAGTGCTGTTTCTGCAGAATATTTTAACTCTGCCTCACTGAGCAGCTGAGTGGGGTTTTTCTTTTTTTTCTTTTACCTTAAAAAAAACTTTCACTTTTAACAACTATGTAATAGGGAAATTGCCATTTGGAAATTACAGTGTGAGAACAGTGGTCATTTTTCTTTACATTTTTAAAAATATCTAAAGGACGGTGCTGTGCTAAATTGGGTTTAACCCAGCTGGAAGCTTGCATTGTTCTTCAGAGAAGACACAAGTATAGAGGCAGTAAGGAAATGCAGGCAACATTTTGTAGCCGGAGTCTAGATGCGGAGGAGCTGGTGATTGCTTTATGAGGCCTTTTATTTCTTTCTCAGTGGTCCAATCCCAGCTCTGAGAACCATCAGTGAGTAGACACCTGTGTAGTTAAAAGCTCCGTTTTTTAGTAGAAACCAGTAAGAGGGTGAAGTCGGCACAAAAACTATTTTGCCATGAATACTCAAAGCTTCCAACCCACTTGGATTTTTTCAGAGGTGAAAGATTCTCTTCTTCAATAAGCAATATCTCACCATTTCTGTCTCCTTAAATGTGCTTTTCATTTGAACCACATGAAATATTCATCACCTCTTGTCTGACATCACTTCCCACTATGGAAGGTTATGTGGCCCTTATATGCCCCCACTCTGCTCTGCCCCTGGACAATGAGAGAAAGGAGCTCTTGTTTCCTCCAAAATTTGGCTGGTAACTACTGTGGGGTTTAATTATGGAAATTCACTGCAAGAACCATTTATTGATCACTAGTTTATGTCCTCAACACTATATTTAGGTGATGTAGAAGCTATAGAGAAAAAACATTGCCTGTGCTCCCGGTGTGCTCAGTATTATAGGAATGGAATTTCTTCCTTTCCTTTCCTCTCCTTTCCTTCCTTTCCTTTCCCTTTCTTTCCTTTCCTTTTCCTTCTTTCCTGTTCTTTCTTTCTCTTTCTTTCTTTTCTTTCTTCCTCTCCCTTTCTCTCTCTCTCTCTCTTTTTAGAGACAGAGTCTTGCTCTGTTGCCCAGGGTGAAGTTGTAGCTGACTGCAGCCTCAAACTCCTAGGCTCCAGAAATCCTCCTGCCTCAGCCTCCAGAATAGCTAAGATTATAGCCGTGCACCACCACACCTGGTTAGTTTTTGTTTTTGTTTTTTTTACTTTTTGTAGAGACAAAGGTCCCACCATGTTGCCCAGGCTGGCCTCAAACTCCTGGTCTCACGCAATCCTCCTGCCTTGGCCTAGCAAAGCCCTGGGATTGTAAGTATGAGCCGCCATCCAGCCAGGAAGAAGATTAACGTTTAGGTGCTTCTTCTCACCTGTCTGTTTCTCAAACGCAGGGCTAGCTCCCTAGTCTCTGCAGCAGCCAGGAGGAGAGTTTATATGCAGTAGGCATATGAGTTTTTCAGACAATTTTCGAAATTAATTTCATATTTGCTCATTGAATTGTTAAAGCAGGCATAAGTATTTGCAAATATTAGATCATTCTGCAAGATTGTAAGAGAGGAAAACAACCAGAAATTCCTGGACAGTCAGGAGAAGCTATCTCCAATAGGTGTTTGATGGGCACCTGGGGGCCTTTAGTCTCCATTCATATGGAAACCACATCCTGGAATGGTGCCATCCTGAAACACAAAGGATCAGGAGGTTATGTAAATAAGAATGCTTTCCCCCAGCTGATCAAATAGATTAGCAAAAAGAGACTGCAGTTCCACCTGGATGGGAACGAGCTCCTCTGTGAATTCACTGTTTTTCCTCCTTGCGTTGCATGGATTCTTTCTTGAGGGGGCCAGTTTAAATTGTTTTTTATGGACAACAAAGCATATGATCACAGGGCAAGTGCCCTCTTTCCCCTTTTCTAGATAAGAGGGAAAAAATAACAATAAGCTGCCATATCTGGAAACTCTACTTCATAGAGAGGGAGACACTATTCAGATAATTTGACGAGAAAAGGAAAGAAGGGAGGAAGGAGAAAAAGAGGAAAGAAAGGAGGGAAGGAGGGAGGGAGGAAAGATGGGAGGGATTTGTCTGAATTGTCCAAAACTTTGAAGTTTAGGGGAGTGAGGAGTGCACAACCTAACCTACAGCTCTTCAAAATCCCTAAGTCATGCCTTATCATTCAGATGCACAAGGTAGGTTTTAATTTTTTTTCTTTCTCCTAAACTCTGTTTTGTTAGTAGAATTTAAATGGGCTGCATGAGTTTCTGCAACGACTTTTCCCTGTGGTTTCTATAATTTAGAAATGCATCAGCACTGGGTTCTTGGAGGAAGATTATGTCAAACAAAGCTGTCAGAGGCATTTGAACCAAAGCAACTCCATCTTAAACAGGAGCCAGGTAAAATGAGGCTGAAACTTACTGGGCTGCTTTACCAGGTGGTTAAGGCACTCTAAGTCACAGGATGAGACAGGAGGTCAGCACAAAATACAAGTCATAAAGACCTTGCTGGTAAAACAGGTTGCAGTAAAGGAGCCACCAGAACCAAAATGGCAACAAGAGTGACTTTGTCCTTCACAATGCTATGTTCCCACCAGTTCCATGACAATTTACAAATGCCATAGCAAAGTCAGGAAGTTACCCTCTATGGTCTAAAAAGGGGGAGGCATGAATAATCCACCCCTTATTTAGCATATCATCAACAAATAGCTATAAAAATGGGCAACACGGCATCTGTGTCTATGGAGTAGTCATTCTTTTATTCCTTTACTTTCTTAATAAACTTGCTTTCACTTTGCATTGTAGACTTGCCCTGAATTCTTTCTTATGCGAGATCCAAGAACCCTTCCTTGGCGTATTAATTGAGACGCCTTTCCTGGAACAAAGCCGTGGTATTACAAAGATCTTTTTCTTGGCCTGACAAGATCACTTGGGGAATTGTCATTTTGATGGCTTGTAGACGTAGAAAATAATAACATTTAATAATGCAGACTCACCAAGAATCCCAGACTGTTTCTACAGGATACAGTGTTACCAGTTCTGGCACATATATGATACTGTATTGTCTCTTGATACTTAATTAGTAAAAGCCAACTTCTTCCCCAAGTAGGTGAAACCTAAAAGGATTATTCCTTCCTTGTTTCCAGTATTATTTTGACCAAAAAGAATTCCTTATTTACAAAATACTAGGATGAACTACTTAGAGCTAATAAAACTGTTTGTCTGGTGTCTTTGTGATATTTCAACTAACTTAATGTTCTAGATACCCAAAGCTTATCCTTCAAACACTAAAGATAAATGAGCTCTGCATCTCTACAGTCCAAAAAATGAAGAAAATTTAGCATCTTCTTGATTTAAGGTCACCATTCTAAATACAATGTGTCTAGGAGCTAGACCAGAACTGTTGCTAGCCTCTACTCTTTCATGCAAATTAGAGAAAGGCACACTCTCTGGGAGGATGAATTAGGGAGAGCCTTGGGGCGCACACAGCCCTGAGAACATGAACCTGATCGGTGAATGACACTGAAACCTTCATGTGACTAGAAGATGCCCCTCCTGCTGATGGCTACAGCTCTGTGCAGGGAGCCCTGTGTAGTGAACAACCTGCACAACTGAGCACAACAGCTTGTTCTGTGTGCCTCTCCCTGGGTGGCCGCGAACAGCTGTGCTTTTAGAGTTTCTATAGTTGCTCCACAAACCCAACCGCATCCTTCACCTTTTCTCCATCCTAACCTTCTAATTGCCATCTTCTGGTTTCTTGAAGACTTAGGCTGTGAAGCTTTTAAGAACTTTGTGAAATAAAATATGACTTTATTAAACATAAAAATGAGAAGAACTTGGAGAGTCCTCTAGAGAGTGAAGTGTGTGATCTAGCTAGGAGTACACGGGAA